GGGGGGGGGGGGTGTGCAGAGGCTGACACAAGCTGGCAGAGCCTTCCCGCTGAGGTGGAGAGTGAGGGCAGGCGGGAGTAGGATAAAGACAGCGAGTGGTCAGAGATGGAAGGAGAGGAGAAAAGGCAGGGAAACCCTGGGGAAAGAAATGAAAATGCTTCGGGTTTGCAGGGCGCCCGGAGACAATGGCCTGGAGAGAACCCTCCCTCCTGGGGACCCAGGGGCCGAAGCAGACTGCAGTGGGTTGGGAAGCAATTGAGCATAACAATTGTGAAATATTCTGATACCATGCCTCATTAACAAGGGCAAATTTAGTAAGAAAATTTATTGTAAAGTTCACATAAATCTAAGAGCCCATGTAACCTATTACATTAGAATCTGCTCTGAACATATTTCATTTAGATACAGCAGCCATTTGGAATTTAATAATTCCTTTAATGCTATAGATATTTCCAAATCATATAATTCAATTCAGAAAATATTATAGCTACTCTGAGTTTATAAATAGAAATACTGTAGCCAAAAAAAATTCTCCCAAATACCACCTTAAAGTTATTTCATATTTTATGTAAAGTAACTATTAAAGCAAATCAGAACTACCCAATTACAGCTGTCCAGCTTTAAAATAAATAGCAAAATACTTCCCTCTGTGTTTCAGAAATAACTAAAAATAAATCTGGCCTCAGTCGTTGCATCAATTTTCCATTTTTATTTTTTCTCCTAACTCATCAAAAGTATTCAGGCTCTTTCCATTAGATAAGACACTGCCCAGTACACCCAAAGAGTATCTCATAATTTTTTTTCCCTCTCTGCAGCTGCAAAATGTATTTAAGAAACTTCCAGGATTCAAAGAAATTCATGTGTTAGGATTTAGGTAAGTAAGAGAATCAGAGTCTTCTCATTTTTTAAATTACTTTCTTCCTATCTTCTTTTAAAAGTGATGTCATGAGCATTATAAAGTCCCTCTTCCCCCAATTGTTTAGCCCTGCCAAATCCCAAAAGGTGAATACATTTCAGATAAAGGAATTGTCTAATTAGAACATGACCCTAGGTGATTTTTTAAGGGGTAACACAGGAGCTGTATTCCTCCCTCCCTCCGGAGTCAGAAACACTGCTGTCTCAGAGAGCTCATCTGCTGTCCTTGGCAATGTCTGAACCATAGTAATATATTACCATGCAAAAATGATTAACTGAAACTTTTAAATGAAAGAAATGAAATAATCAAATAGCGCCACATGATCGTGTTCCCTTGGCAGGTCTATATCCATCAGCATCTCAACATTCTAATGTGGGTTCTTAATTTTTGGCAGGAATTTTTGCATCTTTCAAGTTCTCATTATTCAAAGCATCTACAAATGGGTTCATAAGGTGTTTTCTTTTTTTCTTAATGTTCCACAAGGTAAACATCAGCCCTGGTATGACAGAGCGAGATTCCACGCCTCGGGGGGTTTTGTAAAGTGGGGAGAGTAGGAGTCACCCACGTCCTTCCTGGCTCCCTCACTGTCTATTGTCCTAAAGCAAAAAGGTGCACAGAGCCCGGGCTCTGCACACTCGCAAAGAGTACTTCCTGGGGGAGCTCCGCCAGTTTATCTTTCGAAGCTATCAGGCCCCTCTGATTTGTATAATTCCAGAGGAAGGAAACATTGAAAAGTGAAAGTTATAAAAAAGATGAAACCCTTCCTATTTACCAAAGCAGACTCACTTTTCTTTATTTCATGATGCTGGCCCACAATATTCCATGTGAAATCGGATGGATTAGAGAAAAACAGCAGGTTATAGAAGGATATTCTGCATAGATAGCAAGGTCTTCTGGATAAACCACTGCAGTTAAAGAACAAATTTTTAATTTAAAGCTGGAGGAAATTATAGGAATGTGTTTTTTGTGAATGTTCAAGTGCTCATTATTTCCTCCTTTCAAATAAATGGAAAAATAATAATAACATCTATTTCAGAGGAAATTCAAAATGTTAGGTGGATTAAATTTTTCAAGGTAAAAAATTTAAAGATATATCCCTTGAAGCTGCATCTTTCCCATGTGTTTATCTCTGCAAGAATTTATTCTTATTTCTGCCAAAGATGCTTATAAAATAAATTTGATCACATTTTCCCAATGACTTCTATTATGTAATAAGGGTTTAGTCTTCCCCCAAAAAAGTTTGGCCCAAATACAATAAATGATATGCTGAGTATCACAAACTTTTAATCATTAATAACAATACTCAGAATATTGTAAAGTAAACTCATTATGAAGGAAACTGCTTTCTCATGGAGCCAGATCCCCACAGAAGACCTAAAATCCTATGTGTCTACTGATACTGCCTTTATTTCAGTTCATTTGTATAAAACCTGATCTACAATTTAACAAGTACTTTTATATCAGTGATCTCATTTGATTTTCTCAACACAACTGGGAAGTAGTTAAGACATCTATTATTAACACAGTTATAAGGATGAACAGTAAAAGATTTACTTTCAATATCGCTTTATCTCTTAAAGCAAACGTGGGGACTTATTAACAATCATTCAACCTAGTTGGAGAGTATACTCCTTCAAAAACTTGTACACAAATGTCCATAGCAGCTTTGTTTGTAACAGCCAAGACCTGGAAACAACCCAAATGTCCATCAACAGAGTAATAAACAAACAAATTGTGGCATATTCATACCATAGACTACTACTCAGCAAAGGAACTATTGGAATACGCAACATGGATTTGCCTCAAAATAATTAAGTGAAAGATGCCAGTCAAAAGGGAGTTCATTATGATTCCACTTATATTTAACTCTAAAAATGCAAACTAATCTATAGTGACAGAAAACAGATCAGTAGTTGCTGGGGGAAGGGGAGGCAGAGAAGGACTGGAGGGAAGGATTACAAGGGTAAGAGTAAGCCCTTGGGTGATGAAATGTGCTTACTATCTCAATTGCTACAATTGTTGCACTGGTGTATAGTAGTGTCAAACTTATTCAATTGTACACCTCAAACATGTGAAGTTTGCTTCATGACAATTATGCTTCAATAAAGCAATTTTTAAAAATGAGCAGGGTCTTGACCCAGGAAGACTGGCCTCTCTCAGGAGCATCATGGATTACAAACTACCGCTGAAAGCAAGCAGGAGGCCAGCCCTGGACAAATGTCTAGATAGTACAGAAGAAGGCCCTCCTCTCAGAGCATCCCAGTGAGGTAGTGCATAGATTGTCTCTTGTGTTCACAGAAAGAAAGTTGTAGCAGAATCCATTCAGTCCTGTTACATCGAGGGAAGAGAATCAGATGAAAGCAACATGAAACACCATCGCGCGTGTAGTGTATTTGTTGGCAACTCTCATTTGCAATGAAAAAAAAAACTGAATATAGCTTTTAAATTAAATTAATATAATTAATAAATATATAATTAATAAAATTATAATGTAATATATTGTAATTAATATAAAAAATTTATATACTCAAAGGAGTCCAAAATGTATTTCTCAGTTTGGTGACTAAATGACCTTTTATTCAGGCATGAGCAGATGGTGGTGTGGAGAAATGAGCCCAGGCTATCTATCGGTCAGGCAGATGAGGGTTTGAGTCCTGGCTCTGCCACTTTTCAACTGACAACTTTCCATCTCTCTGCCAGTTCTCTCCTCTGTGAAATGGGGACTGATTGTGTTGTTGAAGACATTAAATGAGGACGCATGTGAACTGCCTGATGCAGACCACCCACTCAGTTAACAGGTGTTGGTTTTTCTCGAAGCCAGTTCCATGGTGAATTGCACCATTTCCTCAAGGCTTACTGATTACAGCAATTCAGAAAAGAACAATCAGTCAACAAAACAACAGTTCCAGGGTCCAGCCTCAGATAAATTACCTTCAGAATTAAACTAATCATTTAATGCTATTCACAGGGTGAGAAATTCATTTATAAAATATGTTTAAAAAGCTTCCTGGCCCCAGCACCACCCAAAATGTAAGATGTATGGGATATATTTGCAGTCTCTTTAGGAGGACTATGAGGAACTCAAAGAGTTTAAAGATTAAAGGTACAAATAATATTTGAACTAAAGCTCAAATCCTAATCAGAAACATCAAATAATGATGTTTACTTTGAGATTTATGTGGTTCTCAAATTCTCCATACAAATTCTGATAACAGTATATGTGTTTCCTTCACAGCTCTGGGCAAATATGGAAGACAATGGAGATATTTGGGGGGGGGGGATGTAATATTAAGTGATACATTGAGTGTCTCCATAAATATCATAAAAATTCTTTCTTCCTTGCATGTTACCATTGTATGCGATGAAATGAAGACCAAAGAAAGAAAGAGATCGGTAATTTGGACTTTTAATGTTTTTAAATATAGTATATATCCCCCATAAATTTATATTCTCATTTTTTACAAATAATTTTTACATATAAAGTCTGGGATAATGACTTTTTTTTTTTAAATCTTCACCAGAGGTTGTTTTTTCCATTGCTTTTCAGAGCTAGTGGAAGGGGGAGAGGAGAGAGAAACATCGACCGGTTGCCTCCCACATGTGCCCTGACCAGGGCTGGGGATAGAGCCTGCAACTAAGGAACGTGCCCTTGGCTGGAATCTAACCCGGGACCCTTCAGACTGTGGGCCAATTCTCTAACTACTGAGCCAAACAGGCTAAGGCCTCAATGACTTTTCAGTGGTTTCTTATTTAAATGGCAGTAACTGAGCCATTATTCAGTAGTGAGGGGGGAAACTCTCAAGTCAAAATCACTCCATGAGATAAGCAGGTAAACAATGACCTGATCTGCAGAAGAGTATCTATAAAACCCAGAATCTAATTAGAAAAACATAAAGGCACATATCTGTGATGCAGGCATGCTTCACAAAAATGTCATTTAGGATGAGAAGTTGTCTGCCTGAATGCATACTCACACATGCGACCAACCTGTCTGGGTTAAAGCAGAGAAACTAATGTGCTCCTTGGTTTCAAGGTCAGTTCGAATTGGGAAAGGGCCCACTATACCTTAGAAAGCTCAGTAATAAGAATCCAGCTTTGGCTCCTACAATTGACTAGTGAAATAATAAACCATAGACTCTGACTGATGTGAGGCCCAAAGAACTGCCAAGGATACACATTATCAGTTCCCTTGGCCTTTAAAACATTTTTGCATCCCTCTGTGTGAATTTGATGGCATGAACTAGAAGGTAAAAACCTGATCCTAGAGGACAGAGCTACAGAGAATTCTATTTTATTTTTACATGCAAAAAGGCATTGAGTCAATATATATGATAATAAATATGATAATGAATATAGTTAATCATATGCCACTTCCCTTTCTCCTTTCTCACACCTTCCTTCTAAGATGTTATTTTTAAAGCAGCTTGGGGAAAAGATGATGTTTAATTTAAGGTTTTATTTTTTAATTTAAAAGTACTTCTTGAAAAAAAATAGAAGAGAAATACCCTTAAGAACTGAAGCTTTGAATTGGTTACAACATGAACATCTGATTGTCCCACTATATCCTATATCCTATATCCTATATCCTATATCCTATATCCTATATTACTATTTCGTAGACCCTTATAAAGAAAGCTATTTGTAGAAGAAAAGGATAATTCATCCTTCTTGCTGATAAGCACTGCATGACTTTACTTATAAGACCATCAAAAACACTGGTCAATAACTCTTGACAATTAGCACTTTTTCATAAAGACCTAAAGTAAAAATCTATAGTCACTTGATTCAGTTAGTTGTCCCCTGGACTGAACTCCCACCCTGACATTCTATTTTAGAACTAAAATATACATCAATTCTTTTCCACATTTCAAATTTTTGATAAACATTGAAATTACTTTTGAAGTGGGATATTCTTTAAGAGCCCATAGGAAAGAGGTTGAAACTGTCCTGAAGCTTTGTAGCAACATAACTCTCTTTCCAAGGCATATATAACAATGACCTTGGGTGTGATATGTCCTCTACAGTTCAAGTTCCATAGACGTGCAATTTGCAACCATCTTTAAGAGAGACAGTGCAGAAGCAAAAACTCCTGCAAGTGACCTGCTGTCTTTTGATTCCAACAAAATTGAAAGTGAAGGAGTCCTTCATGGAATGATGAAGGAGGACAAGCCACCAGAAACCTACCTCACAGCTTTGGACCTCAAAAAGCTGATCAGCAGAGCACTACAGGAAGACAGATCCTTGCACGTGGGGACAATTCAGTTCTCTGATGGTCAGTTGGTAATTTCATAGTTCTGGGTTCATCTTCATTCTGACAGAGAGGCTAGGAGTTGTGAATGTCTTGTGGTCACTGTCATTATTATTGAGCCTTGTAGAGTCAATCGTTTCTGTGACAGGCATGTGTAGGGTATTGTTTCTGTCTTCCATCACTTCAACCTGTGTTCCATTTGTGACCACTTCACACCAAGAATAGCTCTAGGAGAAGCCATGAATTTCAATTAAATCCAGCTCAACCACAGTCATCCAGTAGAGCCTAGGGAGAAAGAAGGACCCCTGGACAGTTCTGTTCCCCTAGCAAAACCCAGATTCCCTTAACTAACAAATTGGTCAGGTCCCAAAAGGAAACAGATGACACATTCAAATTAGGATCATTTGAGAAGAGTTTGATAAAGGGATTATTTATAAAGGTGTCCCTAATATCCAAAGGAATAAGATAGTTCCCTGGGGCTAGAAGCAGCAAGGTTCCATTACAACCTCTAAGCCTGAAGGGTTCCCTAATGAGCTAAGCCATCCCAAAGACAGAGGGCAAGCAATCACTGATATGGTCCATATAAGACAACCTCCCAGGGCAGAGAGTAATGGGGAGAGGAGAATGGATCTAAAGAAGTCAACGGGATAATCAGGCACAACCAAAATCTTCAGTGGGTGCCGAGAGGGACCCAGGAGCCTAGAACTCAATTCCTCAGTAGGCCGGGTATTCCTGGCTTAATAGGTGGACAACAAAAATGCCATTTTAGTATGACATAGCATGAAGCTGGCGTTCTCTGCCAGTTCTCTCTTATATGCAGGACAAGAAAATCTAGTAGACAAGAAAAGGTGAACATCAAACTCATCTCAGAGACCACCTGGTACTCTGGGTTTGTCTCTTTGTTGAACCCTCTGAGATATTCTTAGAATCAGGCTTTGGGTTGAAACTAGAACTCTGCAAATGGTTCTTGGTTCCAGTATTTTATTCGAGCCATTTCTTTCTTTGTCAGTTCAGTTATGTTTTCATCTTCATTGGCCTAGCCAATCAGCCTATCTGCTTAGTCCAAATCTGTACAATAAAACTAAACACTCTAAAAATCCACCTTAATGACTGCTCTCATCATGTAAACATGCAAGATACATCCCTCGCATCCATCCTTTAATTTATCATTCAGATCAATCAATGGCCCTTAGCTTGTGACATGGACTTCTTAATGATTTGTTGTGCCATTCCTTAAGAACTGATTAGTGCCACATTTTGAACCCTAACTGTTTAATGCCCAAACACAAAAGGAAAATGGGAAAATAAAGAATCACTTAAACCTTGTGATTTTTCATCCATAGAAATTGTTGGTTCATTGCCTGGCTCTGATCCCAACACCCAGTCAGTGCTGCCTACACTCCTTGCTGATATCACAAAGGTGAGTTTGTTGTCTTTTTGTTTTTCAAATAGAAGCAAAGCCTCAAAAACCTTCCACTAAAAAAAAAAAAAAAAAAAAAAAAAA